CTGTTAAGTTAAGCAAGTCTTCAAATAATTGATCTATTTCTATAATGATATAAATATAGAGTTGCGAACTATACAGGTTTTGTGAAGGCGAGGAAGAATCCTCAAGAGACACTCTTCAAGCAGAGGGTGTCGCCTCAACTAGGATTATGAGCTCCAAAGACATAGAAGCCCTTAAGCCAACAAAGATTCTCGCATTCGTGCAGCAGCTGGGTTTGATGGAGGATCTATAGGCTGAAGGCAAAAGGGGCACAATAGATCTAATAGGTCGCAGAGCAGATATCCCAATAATAATTATAATATATATCGATTTCTATCAGCATCAATAAGAGCAACAAGTGTAACGGATACATCCAGCGATATTATTGATTTCAATTAGAATTAGAATTTCATTAATATTGGCTTATAATCAGAAATTTTGGCAAACAAGCAGCAAGCAGCAAGTCTGCCATATATATTTATGATAGGTGCAGTGTATCTCCAAGTCGAGCTCTCTTGACTAGAGTATTCTATTTTCTCATTTTTCACTGTTACACAAAATGAAGAGAAAGTGTTGCAAGTGTTGAGTTCAAAATAACAATTTGTTATAAAACTGTTACGTTGCCGTATTATCTAAAAAGATATAGCGTCATCCTGCCACCAGCAGCAGCAGCAGCAGCTGTTTAGCTGTTTGTGTTGTCAGATCACACACTCAAACAGATTCACATTTGATATGAATGTATTCACGAATACTTATGCATATATATTGCGTGTATTCATTTTCAATTATTTTAAGTGCTGGGCAACAAGTTTGCCACTCATTTTGCGTTGATTTGCTTTCCGTATCGGGTACAGTTGCGTTCCCAGTTCTCAACTACTCTTGTTGTGCTTGTTGTGTTTGTGTGTTGTATGTTGCATGGGGGCCAATACCAAGAAGAAAACAGCCCCCGAGGCTGACTTGAAGTTTCATTTCTTTTTGTAGAGCGACCCCAACACACACACTTGCACACACACACACACATGTCACACACACACACATATTGTGGCATAGTCACATATATCATTGTCAAGTCTATATGCAAGGCAGCCCAAAAACCCAGACCCCATCCCCCATCCCCCCGCCCGGCTGCCATCCGCTATCGCTGGCCACCCAACCAGCAGCATTCAAGTTGCCCTCTGCTCAAATATCAGTCCCTTGGCGGGGCAAGAGGCACAGGAATGGGGACGGGGGGTGTGGCAATCTTTTTGGCTTGTCAAATGCGCATTTCCTGCTTACGCCGAGTCCTTGCTGTGTATGTGTGTGTGTGTGTGGGTGTATGGGCATATGTGTGTACACTCGGAAAATAAATCCAATCGAAATCTAAGAAATTCAATATACTTTTGGCACCCAGCGTAATTCGCCTTATAGAGCAGGTAGTCAATTTCTAAAATTAATCTTTGTTGGATTTATTTCGAAAATGAATTCCAGAAGAATTCTTTTAATTGTTTTTATTACTTATATTTAGTATTAAATATTAGTTTTTTAAGAATTCACATATTGCAATCGATATGAACATTTCATTACTATTTGCTGAATATTTTTTCCGAGTGTGGGTTTACGTGTGTGTGTGTGTGTGTGTGTGTGTGAGCTGCCCGGTTTGTCTCCAGCGCAATCAATATGGCGGCGCTGGGGTAATAGCTTAGGATTTACGCGCACGGCTTACACAGCACAGCTAGAGAGAGAGTGAGAGAGACAGAGACAGGGACAGGAGTAGAGGGGGGAGGGAGGGGGATGGGAGAAGGGGGCTGTAGCTCCTGCTGCTTCTGCTGGCTTCAGTTTCTGCTCCGGTTGGTATTCCTGTGTTCCTGTCGTGGTTACGTCGTCGCCGCCAAGTCGTCGTCGCAGTTACCTTTAAACTTTTCTTTTTTTCTTTTTTTTTATTGATATTTTATGTATGTAGTCGTTGCTCCTTGTGCTGCTGCTGCTGCTGCTGCTTCTTCTTCTACTCGGCCATGTTTGTCCTTTTATGAAAGCTGCTGTAATGATTTGTTTTATGAAGTCGTGTGCAGCTCAATAACCTCTCACTCCTGCCACCTGCCACCTGTCACATGCCTCTGTTTGTCGACGGTGCGCTTCAAAGTATGCTACTAACAAGTATGGATTTGTGTGTGCATGTGTGTGTGTGTGTGTGTGTGTGTGTGCACACCCACTTTCTTGTTTGCCCAATGACTTAGTTATGGAGAGTCCTTGCAACGGATTTCTTCAATTCTGAGCTGCAGGCATCTCTCATCACAAATGCACAAAAGTGTTGCATTCACCTCGCCCAATGCGAATACTCGCCTGAATCGATCAAACATCCACTCTGATACCAGCTGCACCTGTCAGATGAATGTAGTCCTGATTATTTCGCGTCTTTAGACAGTTCTAATTCCAAGCGAACATGTAACGCAAATGCTTTCTTGCAGCCACTGCGTACACTCTGAGAAAAAAGATTGCCCTGAATTTGCTCTAAAATAAAAATCAACCTATGAAACTAGAAATCGTTTCTTGTTTATTGGAAATAGTTTCTTAAAATTAGCAAGACTTGCCTTTAAATGACAATCCAACAAATTTGATATTTTTTCTATTTTCTATTTTCTGAAATTCAAAAATTCACCATTGAAATTGGACATTTTTTGTATATATATTTTATATATCAATTTTAGAAATGTATATTTTGGTGATTTGCGAAAATGTAGAGCTATTTTTTTGCGAGTGTAATCAGTTCTAATTGCAACTGCAAATGGAAAGCAAATGTTTTCTGGCACACAGTGCGTATACGCAATACGCATCCTCTTCCCAGATGCAGGCCTCAAACATGCTGCTGCTGCTGCTGGTGCTGATTGTGCTCATGCCACTGCCATGCAAATGATTTATGAAAAGTGTGAAAGCGAGTGAGAGAGAGAGAGAGACGGGCAGAGAGACAGAGAGAGAGAGAGTGATGGGGTTGGGGTTGGGGTTGGGGGTGTAACTGGTGTGGCAGGGTCAATGGCAACACTTTGGCTGTGCTTGCCGAGTTGGCCATTGTTTTGGCACTAAACTTCAATTAGCTCAGCGACGACGAGTCCATGACTTTTAATCAGTGTACTTTATGCCACACACACGCAACACACACACGCACAACACACACACACACACACACACACAGGCAGGCAGGCTGTCCACTGCATATTCGTGAGCCACAAAAACGTTATAAATTAAACCAACAAGCAATTACAACAGCAACAGAGCCAGCCACAGCAGTGGCAAACAAAAAGGGGCCACAAAGTTTAGTGCGCTTTTTGGGGCGCCACCAGGCCGCAGAGAGCAACGCTGACGTTGACGTCGACGTCGACGCTAAAGTCGTGTCGCCAAGATTTATTGGCGCTGGCCTATGCGTCGAGTTGAGTTGAGTTGAGTTGAGGCGAGTCGAGTCGCGTTTGAACGATGACGAGGACGAGCACCTGGCCGAGGACGTGGACGAGGCCGAGGATTCAGTAGAGGTAGACGAGGACACGGCTACAACAACAACAACAACAACAACAACAACAACAAAAAGCTGCCTCAGCTCAGGGGCAAGTGATTGCCTTTCACACATCAGCAGGCACAGCATTGAAATGTCAGCCTCTCTCTCTCTCTCTCTCTCTCTCTGTCTTTGTGTCTATCTATCTCTCGCTCTCTCCACACTCAGACTCAGAATTTTAGAAAGGGTTGCTCACCTTTTGATGTTTAGGGCAAATGTTTTGTAATTTTAAAAACAATAATGTTTTCTTACATTTATAAATTCTTTTTCGAAAAACAAGAAAACCTTTCTAATTTTTAGACACATTTTCTGCAATTCAGTGCGTTTTTTTCTGAGTGTATGAAGGACAATAACAAATAACACAAATGAATATCAACTGTGGTGCGGCTTCCAGCTAAATCAAATGCTAAAGTTGACTTTGGAAAAAGTGCCACAAGATTTATGCCTCAATGTTGTTACCAACTATCTGTCTGTCTGTCTGTTTGTCTGTCTGTGTGTGTGTGTGTGCTAGTGTGTGTGTGTCGGAGTTTGGCAGCTTCGCAAATGCGGATGCGAATGCAGTTGGGTGGCGATAATAAGCCTCAGCCAATGATGACGACTCGATGTCTACTTTAAACACCCCTAAATCCAGCGCCAGCATACACTCGCACACACTCGCACACACCAACACACTCGCACACGCACACCAACACACCCACTTACACTCACATAGAGCCATCTACACCCAATTTGCAGCACAGACTCTCGTCTGCTGCTGACAGTCAAAGGCTGTCAACTGTAAATGGCATAGATATGTTGACCAGGTTTCTTAATCTGCCACTATCTCTCTCTCTCTCTCTCTCTCTCTCTCTCTCTCTGTTTGCCTCTCTGCGTCATCTGCCTTGTGCCTGGTGTCTCTGGTTCTGTCCTGGAATCAACCAGAAAATCTTTGACTTTGGCTCAGGCAGTCAAATTTCAAACACAACGCCCGAAAACTCAGCACAGCAAGTCAAAGAACGAACCAAGGCTTATCTGCAATTAGCAGAGCACTGCTGCCGTCACTGTGGTTGCTCGTTATGAAGAACAAGTATTTCGATCTTGTTACGCCAGCAGAATAATCCTGCAGAAGTATCCTATAATTAGATCAACTTATATTGGATAAAATGCTCAATTGAAATGCGAATTCAGGATGCATCAGGATTGCATTAGATGCACTTTGAATATTACATGAATGTTGAACCTATTCCAAACTCACCAGAACAGATCCTAGTCCTCTTAAACTTGGTATTTACCAATAGTATTCATCTTATTCACATTTGCGCAACTGAATGCGGCGAATGGAATGTATTCGATTTGCAGACGTGTTTCTTCTGCGTAATTTGTCAAATTGTTGCCCTGTCATTGGCTCTCGTGAATGTGGCCTTCAATTACACGCAAATAAGCAAATATGCTATTGAACTACAATCTCCTCTGACCTCTGACCTCTGACCTTTAATTAACCTGCTGTCTTTCTCTGTCTCTCAGGTGTCAGCTGGGCAGCATTTGCATCTGAGCGGCGATATGAAGAGCAATGTTTCAGTTGCTGCCCAGCAGGGTGTCTTCTTCAGTCAGCAGCAGCAGCAGCAGCAGCAGCAACAACCTGGCAACCCTGGCAATCCTGGCAATCCCAATCCACAGCAGCAGCAGCAGCAGCCGCATGGAGCTGGCAATGCTGGCTCGAATAACGGCGCTCCAAATGCACCACAGCAGCAGCAGCAGCAACCAAATCAAAATATGAACAATGCAAATGGTAAGTGAATGTCAAGTGAGTGCCAAGTGAATACACTCATCTAAACTCAACGAATGCTTTCCACTTTCCACTTGAACAGTACCCTCCGACGGCTTCTCGCTCTCCCAAAGCCAAAGCATGAACTTCACACAGCAGCAGCAGGTGGCGCAGCAGGCGGCGCAGCAGCAGCAGCAGCAACAGGCAGCGGCGGCGGCAGCAGCAGCAGCTGCCGCACAACAGCAACAGGCAGCGGCAGCAGCAGCAGCTGCGCAGCAGGCACAACAGCAACAGCAGCAGCAGGTGCCGCCAAATATGCGTCAGCGTCAAACGCAGGCGCAGGCTGTGGCAGCAGCGGCGGCAGCAGCAGCCGCCCAAGCCCAGGCAGCAGCCAACGCGGCCAACGGAACTGCCGGCAACAATGTGCCGCTGATGCAACAGCAGCAACAGCAGCAGCCGCCGTCGTCTGTTGGCGCCGGCAACGGACCACAGAGCGGTGGCCCCATGAATCAGCTGGGCGGACCCATGGGTGGCATGCCCGGTGGCATGCAGATGGGCGGCGGTGGACCCGGCGGACCCGGCGGACCCGGCATGAATCCCATGCAAATGAATCCCAATGCGACCAATGCCCAGCAGCAACAGATGATGATGGCCGGCAACGGTGGCCCCGTGCCGCCAGCAAGTCAAGCGAAGTTCCTGCAACAGCAGCAGCAGATGATGCGTGCCCAGGCACTGCAGCAGCAACAGGCGCAGCAGCAGGCGCAACAGCAGGCGCAGCAGCAACATCAGCAGCAGGTGCAGCAGCAGCAGCAACAGCAGGTGCAGCAACACATGTCGGGGGCACGTCCCCCGCCACCGGAGTACAGCGCGACCAAGGCGCAACTGATGCAGGCCCAGATGATGCAGCAGACAGTTGGTGGTGGCGGTGGCGGTGGTCCCGGTGGTGTTGGTGGCGTTGGTGGCCTGGGCGGTGGCGTTGGTGGTGGTCCGGGCGGTGGTCGGTTCCCCAACAGTGCCGCCCAGGCGGCAGCCATGCGTCGCATGACCCAGCAGCCCATTCCCCCATCCGGCCCAATGATGCGGCCCCAGCATGCCGCCATGTACATGCAACAACATGGTGGCGCTGGTGGCGGCGGCGGCGGTGGACCACGCGGCGGCATGGGTGGTGTGCCGGGCGGCGGACCGTATGGCGGCGGCGGTGGTGCTGGAGGCGGTGGCGGTGGACCCATGGGCGGCGGCGGACAACAGCAACGGCCGCCCAACGTGCAGGTGACGCCGGATGGCATGCCGATGGGCTCGCAGCAGGAGTGGCGCCACATGATGATGACGCAACAGCAGCAGCAAATGGCCTTCGGCGGACCAGGACCCGGTGGTCCCATGCGACAAGGACCAGGAGGCTTCAATGGAGGTAAGCAGGCGAGCCGCATAAAAAGGATTCATCCTCAGCAGATCTACTTGAAATTTGCTATTTGCTGTTTGTCTACAGAGAATAACTTGAAGTTGAACAAGTCTGTTCCAGGCGTGAACTGTTCAGTTAATCGAATATAGTTGGAAATGAATCGAATATAGTTCAGAGTTAATCGACTTTTGTGCTTGCAGGTAACTTCATGCCGAACGGAGCGCCGAATGCGCCTGGCAACGGGCCCAATGGCGGCATGATGGCTGGCCCCAACGGGCCACAGATGCAGTTGACGCCGGCACAGATGCAGCAGCAATTGATGCGACAGCAGCAGCAGCAGCAGCAGGCGCAGCAGCAACAGCAGCATATGGGACCCGGTGGCGGCGGCAACATGCAGATGCAACAGCTGCTGGCGCAGCAACAGAGTGCAGCGGTCAGCGGTGGCGTTGGTGGCGGCATGATGGCCACCCAGATGCAGATGACCAGCATGCATATGAGCCAGACACAGCAGCAGCAGCAACTGACGATGCAGCAGCAACAGTTTGTGCAGAGCAGCAGCACGACGACAACAACACACCAGCAGCAACTGATGCAGATGACCCAGAGCGGCGGTCCCGGGGGTGGTGGTGGTGGTGGTGGTGGTGCGGGTGGTGCAGGTCCCAGCAACAACAATGGTGCAGCGGTGCAGCAGGCGGCCGGGGTTGTGGGCGTGGTTGGTGGTGGTGTTGGCGGCAACAATGGGGCAACAATTGCCAGCGCCAGTTCGATTAGTCAGACGATTAATTCCGTGGTTGCGAACTCGAATGATTTGTGTCTCGAATTCCTCGACAATCTGCCCGTCGACAGCAATTTCTCCACGCAGGATCTGATCAATTCGCTGGACAATGACAACTTTAACATTCAGGACATTCTCCAGTAGATTGTTCCGGAAGAAGAAGATGAAGAATAAGAATAAGAAGAAGAAGAACAAGAATGTTAAGTTGCGCTCAGCACCAACAACCACCAGCAATTGTTTCCCGTTTTTGTTTGTTCATTTTTGGTTTTTATTTTTGTATATGCCTCTTGTTGTTGTTATTGCCTGCCCCACCCTCAAAGCCCCTCTCCCCCCGCCCCACTGTTTGTTAATTGTGTGAATTTTTTAGAAGCTAAGTTTGATGTACTCTAATTTGAGACTTTACTGTATTATTAGCCGCTAGAGTTGCCCTCCCTTCATAAGTTGCCGGGCAGCAACGGTCCAAGGCGGGCAGACGCTGGACGAAGGCGTGGAGGGGGATGGGGGGCGTGGCAGCGGCAAAACATTCCATACTCAATAATACAAATACATATATATATATATATATATATGTATGTATTCGTCTAAATATATATGCGAAAAACAATTCGGGCTGAGAGCAAAAAGAAGAAGCAAAAGAAAGTATTTGCAAGTACTTTGAGAAAGCAGCAGAAAGCAGAAAGCAGAAAGCAAGCAAAAAGCACACACACACACTTACACACACACACACACACACTTACACACACACACTTACACACACACACACACACACGGAACTTAAGCACTTGTACTTAATGCAATTTGGCCACGCCCATCGCTCAGTCTGCCCGCCCACCAATTTCACTTTACTTAAGCAAAATGCAAAAAGCAAAAACAAATCGAAAAACTAACAAAAAAATACAAAACAAAAAATGAATGGAACCAACAACAAAACTTTTTAACAAAAACAAAAACGAAAAGAAAAAGAAAAGGAAAATTGTACATTTTGTATTGTATTTAATTTAATTTAATTTTTTACAAAAATGCGAAAGTTACAAAAAAAAAACAAAAATGAAAAAAAAAACACAAAAAAAAGAGTAAAAATGAGAAAGAAAACAGACACAAAAACGCAGAAGAGGAAAAAGCAAAAATATATTGGTGATATTTGAATTGCTTGAAACAAAAAACAAAAAACAAAAAAACACAAACAAAAAAAAACAAAACACACTGCAAAATCAAACAAACAAAAAGCAAACAGAAAAACAGATTTAAAAATAAACGAGAAAAGGATGAGATAGAGAGAGAGAGAGAGCGCGAGGGGAGAAAGAGTAGAAGAAGGAAGAAAACAGTTATTATTATTATTGTACATTATTTTTGTGTAACAATTAAGTTTAAATGGAATTTTTAAAAGAAACGCGGAGCAAACAAGCAAGTTAAGCGCAAAACAACAAACATATTTAATATATATATACACCTACATATATATATATATATATATATATATATATATACATATATACGAAACTTATAATTAATTACTACGCGTAGTTTTTGGTAGTGAAAAGCGTGCATAAAGCCCTAAACATTAGTAGTTTGTTAAATAAATTTATATATACACCCCACACACACACACACTCACACATACACTCACACACACACACACAGACAGACAAACATTATATATAGATATAGAGATATATATATATATTCGATTATTGTAAGAGCAGCGCTAACAATTATTGAATTTAGAGTTAAGATCAGCCAGAGCAAAAAGGAAAGCAATCCAGAATGAGAATGAGAGAAATTTAGCTAAATGCGTTCAGGCCAAGTGTGTTACCAAGTGACGCCAAGTGCCACGCCCACAGCCACGCCCACTTCACAAAATGTATAAAACGATTAGCGATTAATGTTTAAGGATACGCCGAGATTCCAGCTATGAAATTATTGTACGACATTTAATTAGCGCAATTCCATAAGTCCATAAGTTAAAGTTTAAAAGTTAAACACTTCAATTCAGATTCAGATCAGTTCAGTTTCAGAGGCCATAGATCCACACTTCCAGATACAAAACAAAAAACACAAAAATAAAAACAAAAACAAATAAAAGAAAGCAAGTAGCAAAGAAAACAGCAGCAGCAGCAGCAGCAGCAGCAGCAAACACATCAAGTATAATGCATACGATCCGAAAGCGGATCGGGAACTCATAGCACACATACACACACACACACATACAAATATACACACAGAAACACACTCGCCTAGAAAACAAACGCGTAGCCCAAAGTATTTAAGCCGCAAAAACAAACAAAAAGCAAAATGAGAAACAAAAACAAAAAACAAAAAACAAAAACTAACAAAAATTATTATTACAATTATTATATAATAAAATACGCGAATTGTAGTTTGTAATTAATGATACGAAACAAATTTGTTTACAAAAAAAGAAAACCGCAAATTATATATTATATATATAGTATATATATATACATTATTATTATTACTATATACAATATGGCATATTATTATTACATATATATATATATACTTACATATACAAGAACATATATATATATATATTTCTATATATATATATATATTGAACACGAGTAAGCTAAAGTTCGGCGTCGGCAAGTCCTTGGGAAGAAGAGGAAGGAGATAAAGAGGCGAGCTGGAAACAGCAGGAAAGATGAAATCCTGAAAAATTACAACTCGCATAAGACAACTCAAATTCGAACTCGAACTTGAATTCGAATTCGAACTCGATATCGATATCAATTAAAAGCAAACAGCTGCCAGCGGCAAACCAAAACTTTAACAATTTACAAACAAAAAACAAAGAAAACAAAAAACAAACAAGCTTCAAAGCAAACGCAAAGCAAATGCAAATTAATTTTAGCTCATAATTTATATAAACAAAAAACAAAAGAAAAAACAAAACAAATCAAATTTGATTTGGATTTGTATTTGTATTTGAATTTGAACTAAAATTCAATTTGATTTGATTTGTTGATAAAGTTTAAGGCCTATTGCAGCATTTTGTTTATAAAGCAACGATTGTTTTTTTTTTTTTTGTAACTAGCCAAAATTTTTTTGGTGCATAAGTCGTCGGTTTGCCGTTTTGTTTTGTCCTCCAGGATGTGCAACAAACCTTTGTGTCCAATAAACTTGAACATGATCGCATTGTTGGCCCAACAAACAACAAATTTGTAGATTTTCTTTTATTATTAAAGAAACCAGAAAAAAGCAACAAAATAAAATAGTAAAATATTACTTTTGTAAATAAATAAACAATTTTCTTTTTATTTCAAAAGGATTTGAGGTGCCATATAACCATTCAAATATAGATATATATGTATTATATATGATGAAATTGTAGCAACAGGCGGTATCCAATCAGAGCAAAGCGATGCTTGAAATGTGATTAGGCAGAGAGTGTGACAAGCGAATCCTGACTCAGGAGTACAAGGGGCTATCCTTGAGGAATCAAGGAGAGCGCTAGTCCTGGTGAGCTGCCGGGCGGAGTGCCTGAGGCCGATTCTAGCGCACGTAAGCTTTTGAAGAACGTTGTACATATTTTTCATTCATATTTATTGATTTCTTTATACGCATGTTCATAATAATATAATTGCATATTTTATGACTTATAATAAATATATTCCATAAATGTAAATACATGCATTTAATGTGTGTGTGTATGTGTGTGTGTGTGTGTTTGTGTGGGTGGGTGAGTGTGTGTTTTTAAATGTTTGTGTAGGAGTGTGGGGTGTGCTTTTCTTGTTTAACATTATTTTCATTATTATTATTATCATTATTATTATTATTATGTATAGTATGCATATTTATTTGTAATGCTTAACTTGCTCGATATATGTATGTATGCATGTATGTGTGTGTATTTTATTGTATGTGTATTGGTAGTATATATAGAGTTTCACATAGGTAGGACTTGCATGAGCTTTCGACATGGATAATCCCTACGCATTTAACTTAAACAATTAACAAGCTTTCTGGCTAAAATATGCATGGATCTGCTATGGAAGGATGGGTAGGGGACATGTATGGATCTAAACCAATTTACAAATAAAATTAGCAACTATTGCGAGAACTAAATAGTGTGATAAGTCTAATTAAAAGCTAGCTTTGCCAATATATATTCTTTAAATTGTATTCGTGTGTGTGTATGTGTGCCTGTGTGTATGTGTGTGAGTGTGTGTATGTGTGTGTGTGGGGCTATGTTCAATAACTTTTCAACACTTAGACGCTAGTGCAAAGGTGCGGCCTGCCAATTCTAAATGTTTAAATATTACGATTATTATTATAATTATGAATTATTTGCGACACCGTTTTTGTTTTGTTTTGTTTGTTTGTTTTAACAATGTAAATGCCTTTGCCTGTTTTCCATTAGTTGAGTTTCGTTTCGTTTTGTTTTTTATTTATTATTAATTGCTAGTAATCAATGTTAAATGTTGCACTGTGGCACGTACTAATATGCAATAAAATCAGCCTTAGTTATAATAATTGTTACTCGTGAATACGCGTTTCTATAAGTTGCTCGGGTCTATTTCAATATATTTGCGGCAAGTGCTTGCAAATACTGTATCTGAGAACCTCTTTCAATATTATTATTTCTCTTCATATTTTTTGTTGTATGTTTTACTTTGTAATACTTTCGCAAGTTAAAGTTTCTCTCTAAAAAAAACAATTATACAAAAAAAGTTTTAAAAGTAAAAACCTGTAAATTTACTAGCAAATATTTGCGACATCAATTTTTGCGATTATAAAATTCGCCGCTCAATGGAATTGCATTAAATGTGATTTTTAAAAACGCGATTAATTCGTAATTAGTTAGTTAATTACTCCAAGTAATAAGTAAATAGTTTTACTCTCTTTTCTTTACTATGTGACTCGACTCGACCATTCTGCTAAATGCGCCAATTCAAATTCTAGTATTGTTATCAATTTAATGTCGTGGGACTTTTTCGGTTTTTCTATATAAAACGTACACTAAACTTTAGTTTAGATTAGATGTGAGTTTTGAATGTTTGTTTTCTTTTTGTTGTTGTGCATTTGAACGAATGAATAATAATGGATGGATACTGAAGAAATGCACTTGAAGAACTGCAACTAGCCACTCTTTAAACACATTCCGTACTTAATCTAAATATTAACTAATATTTCTGTATTGGCCATTTGCTGTGGCAATAATAAACATCCATTTTTCTATTAACTATTTCCACAACAAATGCGACCATTTTTTTCCTTTTCTTTTTCTTGTGCAGAGCTCGAAAAGAAACTGAGCTGATTAAATTGGCAATTTAGCTCAGTTTGCTTTCAATCAACTAAGTTTAAGATTTACATACATATTTATAAAGATTTATAGTAACGGTTGAGCTTTACTTAAATATTGCAATCATGTTTGGGGATGCTCGATTCAAAATATATCGAATATTTGTTGTTACTTTGCTGCGCATACCGCCGCTTACATAAATTTATATCACACGCAATAAATATAATAGAAAATAATAATATATATCGAATATTTGCATTTCGAAATTAAACAAAACAAATTAAAAAACGTTCTCGTAATTATTTGATAGCTTTCGTGTTTTACCCAACTTTCCTTTCCACTAATATACATATAGAGGGCAAAATAAGTATATAATTCGAAATTAAAAACTTATTGCTGTTGGTGCGCATTTCTCTGTGTGTGTGCTGGGTGTGTGAGTGTGTTGGGTGTGTGATTTTCGAGTGCAGCTATTCGTTGTGAATGGCAATGACTGTTTTTTATTATTGTTTGGATTTCTCTTGTTTTCTTGTCGTAAGACTAACTAACGCTTTAACGATTTGGCAAATGATTATTTATCGATTAGTTATCGATTGCTGGTGCTTAGTGCAGCCTATGCTGATTGGCCTTGGGCATGGCGCCAACAATGCGCACACGCCCCAAGGTGCCCACTGCGCCAGCGCCAGCGCCACCAGACAGCCGCTGATGTTGCTGCTGTTGCTGCTGCTGCTGTTGCTGCTGCTGTTGCTGCTGCTGTTGTTGCTGCTGCAGCAATTGCAGCTGCTGCTGGTGACGCTGCTGCTGCTGCAGGAGCTGTTGTTGCTGTTGCTGCTGTAAATGATGTTGTTGTTGTTGCTGCTGCTGCTGTTGTTGTTGTTGCTGTTGCTGTGGATGATATTGCGGCGCATGCTTGGCATCGTTGCAATCACAAAATTGTGGCGGCGGCGCCAGCACAAGATTCTCGGTGCACAGCTGCTGCATATTGTTGTTGCCCGGCGCAACAGAACCAGCAGCTGCAGCAGCAGCAGCAACGGCAACAGCCGAAGGCACTGCCACCAATTGGCCGCTGGGCAACATGCCCACAATATGCGTGGCCAACTGTTGCTGCTGCTGCTGCTTTTGCTGCTGAAGGTGTTGCATATGTTGTTGCTGCTGCTGCTGCTGTGGTTCGCCATCGCTGTCGGCGGCCTCGAGTGGCGGCGGCAACTGCACCAGAGACACGGCTGGGGTGCGTGTGGCGCCACGCTGCATCGCAATTGCTGCCGCCTGTTTGCGTGTGAGCGAATTGTGTCGCTGAAATGCCTTCGCCGGCGGCGATGGACTCAATTCGCCATCGTCGTCATCATCGAGATCGGAGCGCTGCTCGAGCTCGAGGGAGTCGTGACCCTTGTGCAGTTGCTGCTGCTGCTTGGCCACCAGAGCGGCGGTGCTAGCGCCACCACCGGCGGCGGCTGCCTTCGCTTTCAGTATCTGCTGCAAGTGTTGCTGATGGGCCAGCTGTTGCTGTTGCTGCTGCAATATCTGCTGCTGTGTGGCAATCAACTTAATGTTCGGATTCGATTGATGATGCAGCTGCTGCAACTGTTGCTGCTGCTGCTGATGGTGCACATTCGGTATGCGGCCGAGTACCTGTGGACTGGGCACAGATTGTGTGGACTTTAAAACACCAGTTGCTGTTGCTGTGGCTGTTGTTATTGTTGTTGCTGGCAACTTGTTGTTGCTGCTAATTAGTTGCTGCTGTTGCTGCTGTATAACAGGCGCATGTTGCTGCTGCACCAGCTGCTTAACAGTCAGCGTTGTTGTTGTTGTTGAGTTGCTGCTGCTGTTGCTGTTGTTGTTGTGATTGCTGCTGGCATTGTTGTTGATGTTGCTGGTGGACTTTGTTGCCGCCTCATAGGCAGCAGCAGCATTTGCCACATTTGTGCCCGAATTTAGATTGATGATGTTGGTTTTTGTATTTGTTGTTGATGTTGTTGCTGCTGCTGCTGCTGCTGTTGCTGTTGTTGTTGTTGCTGCCGCGCCAATGCTAATGGTCGTCTTGGCCATTATCTTGACCGTTGGCTGTGTGTCGGGTATTGTTTTGGGCTCCTCGACAATAGTTACGCTCGGCTTCTTCTTGATTGTGTCTGTGGGCTTTGTGGCGCCTCCGCCGGTGGCTAACAACAATTCCTGATCGCTGCTAACGCCCGAGCTGCTGTTGTCGCACTCATCCTCACCATGGCCAGCGTGTGCTGCTGCTGGTAGCAACTGTTTCTGCTGCTGCTGCTGTTGCTGTTCGTCTTCTTTTTTGAGGAAGCCATTGGGCGAGGACTTGGAGGTCTTCAGATTGCTGCGGATGCGCTGTATTTCATCCACGGACAACGAATGCGAAATCGAAGCACCCGAACCAGAACCAGAAGCAGAACTGCTGCCACTAAAGAAAGAGAGAGCAAGGAATGAGTCTCGTTGGATTCGAGTCCAGTTAATCATTGCTAGCAATTTATTGCAACTTACCTGGCCTGGCTGTTGCCACTGGTTTCCGGCACATCGAACAGTGCAATTTTCTCGTTGAGCTTCGTGTTGCGTGCAACGAGTATGGAGTTCTCATCCTCGCCATCCGATTCGCTGCAGCTGTAATCTGGTTCGGGTATGGGCGGTGCAGAGCAACCACCAGCAGCACCAGCAACTGTTGCTGCTGCATTAGTATTGCCATTCGCCTGTTGCTGCTGCTGTGCTGCTGCTGGCGGTGGTGGCGGTGCTGGTGGCGATTGAGGTGCAGCTGTTGACTGCTGCTGCTGCTGCTGCTGCTGTTGTTGCTGTTGTTGCAGTTGCAATTGCAATTGCAGCTGTGGTGCCGCATAATGCGAGGCAATTGCGTTGCCAGCAGAGGATTGGGCACGCAATTGGGTTGGCGCCGCATATTGACTGACATGTTGTTGTTGTGGTTGGTGTTGCTGTTGTTGCTGCTGCTGTTGTTGCTGTTGCTGCAACTGTTGCTGTTGCTGGTTGTCCTTTGTGTCCTGCGCCTGTCGCAACTTCCAGGCCATCACATTGCGCAGCTCCTGCGGCGAGGCATAGATCTTGGCATTGGCCGCCGGATTGAAGCTACTCTGGACGCCATCGATGGCCGCCGAGGTGACTGCATCGTTCTCCGTGCGCTTCTTCAGTTTCTGTTGCAAGGATATTGTGCTCTCGTATTCGGAGACGTTGCTGCGCGTCTCCACCTTGACCACCTGGCCAACGGGCGGCGGCGGCGGAGGATGATTGGGTGGTGGAAGTATTGCAGCAGCTGCAGCCGCTGCGGCAGCCAGTTTGCTCTCCTCCTTGTTGTTGTTGTTGCCGGTTGTGTTGAGGCGCTGCAGCGAGGCATGCAACGTGGCCACATCGTCCTGCGAGTGATGCCCCTTGCCCACCGCCTGCCAAATCGACGAGGCCGAGCCATGCAGCTGCGGTCCATGCAGATCGGGTGTCGAGTGGAAGCGCTTCAAGTCGCGACCAACTGTTGTACCATTGCCCACTGTGGGCGTGGCAACGGGCTTACCACGTAGCGTGCCACTGCCATGCTTGCTCCTGGCCGTCTTACGCTTCATCTCGGCGACGCTGCCATAGACTAACGGACCCGCTGCTGTTCGCATGGGCGAACCATTGGCGGCGGGGGGCGTGGCCGCACCACTATCCGTGCCCGACTGGAAACGGGAGCTGGTCATCATGGTGGCGTAGCGACTGGACGCACTCGAGGCACTGCCCTCGCCTTGCTGTCGCTGGAACAGCTCCTCCAGCTCGGCAGCTGTGATCCGGCTCGAAGTGGGTCGCGCCTTAATGCTGGCCGTGCGCAGCTGGACAGGTGTGCCCGGATGTGTGGGAGTTGGCGTCGCAATCGACTCCACCGAATTGGATTTGGTATGTGGCACCTGCTCATCCTGCTCCTTTTCGCCGCCATTCTCCAGGCCGGCGACCATTGACTTGGCTCTGGCACGACCCACACTCAACGTGGTCTTCGGATCACGTCGCGGTGGCATCGGTGCCATGCGCACGCTGCCGCCGCCACCACCAGCTCCACCAGAGACGGAGCTGCCACTGGCATGGCTGCCCGGCCCCATCATCGACATCTTGCGCGGCAACGTGGCGCATTGGCGGTGGGCGCTTTGCGGTGTGCTCGGTCCACTCGACAAATGCTGACTGCCACCGGCACTGCGTGCACCACCACTGGGCAAGTACTGTGCACTCGCCTGCATTTGGAGCGGAAACTGGGGTGAGACGACAGTCATGTTGACCAGTGCGCCCGCGGAGCGTATCATTTCGACTACCTGCTCGTGCGAAGCGGCGCTCACATCCTCCCCGTTGATGGTCAGCAGGAAGTCACCGGGACGCAAGCCGGCCATGTCGGCAACACCCCCAGGATCCACATCGTCCAAGTACTGGAGTGCCGGGAAGCGCTCGGAGGGACGCAGTTGCATCAGCTGCGAACTGGCCTTGGCACCGCGCAAAATGAATCCAAATCCGCGCTTGGCTCGATGCAACACCACCGAACGCGGAGCGTTGTAGGCACTGCAAACAGTTTCAAGTTTAATATGGAGATAAATGCAGAAACAATTTTAGAGTGATTGTTTTTCTGAGTGTAATCAGCTACTTACCCCTTCTTGATGCGTGGCGCTGTTGCGCTGCTGTATTGTCCAATTGTGTGGCCGCCATTGTTCTCCGGCTGATGCTGTTGCAGCTGCTGCTGTGGCAGCTGTTGACAGGAGCCATTGCTGGTCATGGAGAGCGAGGGCGACTGATGCGGCTGCTGGAGCAGTGTGCTTGAGCTGCCCGAGTGGCCGCCCAGGCTGAGCTGGGGGGAGCCCTGGTAGGAGGATTGCTGCGGCTGCAGTGATGGTGGTGCCACCATCTGCTGCTGCTGCGGTGCTGGTGGTGCCACCATGCCTGTGCTTGCCGTCATCACATTGGTGATGTGTTTCTGTCGCAGATTCACCTCCTGGACACAGTCGGCGGGGAAGAAGCCCGACTGATTCGTGCCACGGACATAGCCCTCGAGGAGGCCGCAATCGGTGCTGCCAACGACTTCGATGACATCGCCCGGCTGCAGCCGGATGTGACCCACTGTGTTGCCCGCATAGGGTTCCATGCACACCACTGTGGTGCTCGGATGCCCAATCGAGCAGGCAGCCGAATCCGAATTGGTTCCCACGCCCGAAGAGTCGCTAATTATGTCGCTGGTGTCGCCCAGCGATTTATCTGTTTTGGGATTGCAAAAAAGCAATTTAATTAGCCAATTGATTTGATTCACAAATGATTTATCTGATCAGATGTTGGCCAGAGAATACAGAATGCCACAGAGACAACATTTAAGATGACGATAAGCATGCTGTGAAATTGGAGCAGTTGCTGGGCAGGAATGGAAAGCGGGGAGTAAGGAGGGGAGAAGCACAAGAAGCAATACGAGCGAATGCGATGAATATATCTATTATATTAGGTATGATTTAAATAGTCACGAATCACACTTTCGAGAGACTCATTTAAGGAATGAATCACAACACAAAAAAGTGTTTCTGCTTAGTTTGAGAAACTCATTTCTAGACTACTTAAATCGATTAATCGATTAAATTTATTTAAATGATGATTCAATAGATAATTTCTAACGCATACCTTGATTCTATATCAATCTCAGATAATTTTCCAAATGATTGACTTAAGCCATTCAGCTGAGTTGTTAATGGCTCATTTATAGGCTCATGACTATTAATATATTGTGAGTATAACAAATTTACTAATTCCAAGTGAATTATAATGGTTTATCGATTGCTTTTGCATTGCTTCCCATAATAGACCCATTAGACATGCTCTCATGTGGGTGATTTGTAGTATAAAACCAAAACTAATTTCACTTATTTAACTAAAACTAGGCATGCTTAGTGATAATTTAATGGATGTCATACTTAACCTCGTGAGTTGAATTTATATATATATACATATATAAGTATATTAAGAGTAGAGAATATGTCCAGTAAAACATAAAATGTAATTTAATTCAAGTGTAATTGAACTTATAAAGGCGAAATCAGTGTAAAATTATTGTTTGATTGATTGATTCATTGATTGACTGATTACCTGTGACAATGCTGATGTCGTCCTCGTGCGAACGATGTCCCGACGAGCCCTCCGAGAGGCTCGAGCTCGCCGAGCTGTAGGCGCCCAACATATGCTCCGAGGGGCATGGTGACGGCGGACCATGCAGCTGCTGCAGCTGCTGCAGATGCGGCTGCTGGTGGTGGTGCTGGTGGTGTGGGTGGTGCATTAACTGCAAATGCTGATGCTGGTTCTGATGGTTCTGATGGTGCAACTGCTGCTGCTGTTGCTGTTGCAGCTGCTGGCGCGAAAGTGTGCCCATCAGATTGACACCTCCATTTACGGCACCACCAGCAACGGCACCACCGGCACCGGCACCTGCACCACCCAAACCACCGGTAGCCGCAGCAAGCAGCACAGCGCCAGCTGCCCCATTGGCCGAGAGCCAACCGATGCCGGAACGCCGTTTTGGATTGTAGCGCGGTGGTCCCCGATAGGGCACTGCATAAGTGTGAGTAAGGATGGTATTCGCTATGTAAGTATTTGCTCATCTGTGTGTGTGTGTGTGTATGTATGTGTGTATGTCTATGTGTGTGTGTTTTGCTGTTGATTTTGTTGGTGTTGTTGTGGGAGTTTTGTCGGTTTGGCAGTCGGGCGCTTAACAGCTGAATTTATGCGTCGCGAGTTGGGGTTCTTTTTTAAGGGATGAGCGAGGATTGTTACACATTTTTGCTGGCAATGATTATGGGTTTTTTATGCTGTAATTTTTTGGTCACATTTTGTTGTTGCCAAGTTGCCTGCCCAGCCAATTCCAGAGCTGAGCAAATCTTCAATAAAAATCCTTCCATTGCTCAACTCTGGAGTTGGCGACTCGACTCTATCTAAAAGTTGCTTTTAATATATGTTGAGGTATTAGGAGCAAATAAACCTAAGACCAATTTAGCTGCTAACCTAGGGGAGAACTAACCCTTAGTTTGGATTGCATTTGGGATTGGTTGGTTCGGATTGGATACACACTTAACACTTTAGTGGTTACTTACTGTACTTACTGCTCTTTGCATGGTGATGGTTAGTTAGATCGACCGTAACACAAAAAGCAAAACAGAGCAAAAACAAGGACATTCTAGGAATGACCAAATTAACAAAACAAACTCGCTAAACATATGATTTATAGATAATGGTATTTTATATATATAAATATATTTTGATGATGATTATAAAAACATGTAACGTGTAACAAAACATTGAACAAGAGATAGAGAGATAGAGTCAAAGATAGCGATAGAGGTGTGTGAGATAGAGAGAGAGCGAGACAAATGAGACAAAGAACGAGCAAATATGGAAACGAGTTACAGTTACGATTAAGAGTACTATATATAGTACTATATAGTATACATGTATATATATATATATATATAGAAAAAGATGTCAAGCAACAAATGCAAAAATATGCAAGGCAATTTTACATATAGTTAAAATCTTTTGTATATATTGTTATAGCCAGAGTAAATATATTTTACGAATATTTTATGAATGAATTAAATGGCAGAGACCTAAATGATGAAATGTTTCAATGATATATGATTGATTTTCGATATGAACTGTTTTGGCGTGTCTGAGTCTGAGTGGGCGAGAACTAAACATTTTGATTGGGAATATCGGAATATCGGGACTAAAGGTGATTCAAAAATAATTAACCAAGTACAGTTTGTGGAATTGAATCTAACACATGGAAGTATCAATCAACTATAGTTTGAGTAAATTAAAACCAAATTGTGACAAAAAAAATGGGAATAATCGAGGGGGGTTTGGAGAGTATGAGTAAAAAGTACGATGTGATTATGTCAAAATGTCGAGTACGAGTAGTCGATTGGGATTTGTAGGTCTATGAGTACCACGAATATGTTGATATCAGCTCAAATGAATCAAGAAGTGATATCAACATGCCCGACAGTTTGTGTTGTGAATGCGAATGGAATGTTTTGTTTTGTATGATTGTCTTCGATTGGCTCTCGTTTGTGGCACTCACCAATTTCCTCGGATTTGTAATTCTCAATGATTTCGGCCAGTTCCAAGTTCCCAGCGATGACAGCCACCTAAGGGATACATTTAAATATTAGCCCAGATTTTAAATGAATATTATGTTAATATTGAATTTCACTACATAGCAAGCAAGACTACATGAAATAAGTACCAGACTAAGACTACTTGTATATTTATACATATATTATTGAAGTATTAATTGTAATTGTAGCTTAAAAGTGTCAATTTTGTAATTTGGAGATTTGATTTCGATTGGTTTTTGTTTTTAAATACCTGATAGGGAGTTTGGTTGGCAAAGTTCTGGGCACCGCGTTGTGCGCCGCGAAAGAGAAGCATTCTAGCACAAGCCTCTTGGTTGTTAACAGCACAAACATGCAACGGGCTGTTACCGGACGCATTGCGTCCATCCATGTCAGCACCGTAGAACAACAAGTGTTCCAAGTGCTGCACCAGGCCGTGACGACACGCCTGCTCATAATCATCATCATCATCATCATCCCCATTGTTTAATTGAATAGTTAGGCAAGCGTTTTTAAAAGTTAGCCAGAGCAGAGACAGAGAGAGAGATAGAGAGAAAGAGTCATAAATATAAAAATCAATTAGCGAAATTCTCAATCTCTCAAGCCAAAATTAAATTGAATAACAAAAACATCCCTTCACCAGAGATTCTCTCTCTTTTGTTTTATTTTGGGATAGGATCTTTGGGAGGGGAGCGGAGGGCAGCTATTGCAAGTACCAGAAAATATAGTTCTATATCAATTTGGACCGTCACCGACTTACCTGATGCACTTCATTCCAGCCCTGGCTGTCCTGTATGCCCAACGTGGCATGATCGTGCAGCAGACTCTCCGTTATCTTCGCCTCGCACTTGCGTGTTATCGAAATGTATAGGGGCGTAATGCCACGCCCATCGCGATAATTGGGCGAGGCGCCAAGTTCCAGCAGTGTACTGCAATGGGGGAGATATTAATATGTATACGCATAAAGAATATAGACAACTCTACAATCAGAAGAAAAATAGCTCTGAATTTTAGAAAATCACCATGAAAACTAGAAAGTTTTCACTGCTTTTAGAAATAGTTTCTAAAAATAAGAAAAAATACATATAACATCTTCTCCCAAATCGTTTTATTACTCTGAAATACATTGTTTTATTAAAAAATCCAAAGATCCTTTATAAAATTCAGAAACAAGTCATGAAATTTACTGGCTCGGTTTTTGTTTTAGAGTTTATTATTTATTGTGAATTTAACATATCTTTTCAAACCCTGTTTTTCTTTAGAAATAAACTATGTGAACAATAAGGTGAGTTACACTTGGAGTCTGAAGTAAGGCAAATTTCTAAAAAGCAGGTCGACTTTTGTTGCTGTCTGGATACTCACCTGACCGCCTCGAGCGAATCGTGCTCGACGGCTCGGTGGAGCGCTGTGGTGCCATCCTTGGTGCGATAGTCCAGCAGAGCACCGCCATTGACCAATGCAATGAGCAGCTTGTTGGGTTTCTTGCCGCCGGTGGCCACCGACAGCGGTGTCTCGCCGCTGTCCGAGCAATGAAAATTAGGATCCAGTCCTTTGGCGCACATCTTGGCGATCTTCTCTACATGCCCCCCATTGATGCAGTCGAGGAAGCGACGCAGATTGGCCCGTGTGTGCAGAGCCTTCAATTGACGCTCGTCCAGCGTGAGCATTTTATACACACGCCGCTTGTACTTGAGCTGTGGCAAGAGTGAGGATTGTTAGTTGAGATTCAGAGTAGTTAAGGGTGGATGCAACTGTTACCTCCAGATAGCCAACGGGTCCATTGAATGGATAGTCGCCCAGGCGCCGTTCCTCGTCCAGAAATTTGCCCGCCTTGCCATTCGAGGGCGGTGCAAAGAGGCCATAGTTGAAGCTCTCCTTGAGCTCCTGCAAAGAGTACAATCGAAATAGATGAGTGTGGGTATGAGTATGAGTGTGAGTATGAGTGTGAGTACGAGTGCTCGTCCATCAGGTGTGCCATCGACGTGCTCAAGTTGTTCATTTTCATACAGACAAAGGACTTCCTGTGCTGCTCTCGCTAATGAGCGCATGACAACAGCAGCGCCATCTAGCGGCGTCGTCTTCATCGTCGTTAGTCATTGCATTTGTAATTTGCCGCCTTTGCCTTTAAGTGGCAATTTCTTGTTTTAATTATACAAAAATGTTCGTTGGCAAGCAACAAACAACCAACTTCCGTAATCATCTTAAGGGAAACTCTGTCCTCAGTGAGAACTCCTTCCTCATTCTCACTCCCCTCTCTTCACACCTCTCTTCACCCTTATCATATCATATCATATGATATGAGCTATGCAGTCTCAAGTGAATAACTGGCGACATTGCCAACTGCTGCATTAATTATGCAAAGTGCGTGTTATGCACACACATGTGCCTCCCAGCACATCAGAGCTTAGGATTGCGTAGAGTTTGTGGGTTGTTGTATTTGGGTTTCTTAAATCCCATTAGACCAAAAACTCATAATGTGCTTAATGTGATAAATGTGGCCATTAAATTAGTGACAACAGCAAGCGTGAAGTAGACACAGTCCGCATTTGCATCTGTTATTAGTTCACTTTTAAAAATTCTTTGGCTTTGCTTTTCAATGTGTCGTAATTAACTATTTTCTTCCAGTTTACCCGCACATTCAGTTGCTAGCTAATTCTGTCTATATATATTTAAACTAGCTGTAACTCGGCATCTGTAAGAGCTACTTCCGGCTTTCAACCGTTGTTGTTCTTGTTATTGTTTTTGTTGTTGTTTTGTAGTGGCTACAAATCGCAGCCATGAAGCCCTGCTGGCGACACAACACCGCCACCACCACCACCACCACCCACACCCACAACAACACACACACACCCTCAGACTCATCCATCCCCTTTTGGCAGCGCACACATAAATTTCCACGGCATAAACTAAAACGCCCCAAATAGCGGGCATACACTCAGAAAAGATTCGCCCTACATTTTTCTAAAATTTAGAAAAGAATTGTCTAGTTTTGTTTGCTATATGTGTAGGTGGAAGAACCCTTATATTTGCTATAAGCTCCAATATAAAAGTCAAGACAATAAATGTAATTAAAATATGCTTTTTTAGAGGAAGCTTTTCGATTTTGTAGAAAAATGTTTTTTAATATTCAGAAATTATTTCGAAGAGCAAGAAAAACTTTCTAGTTTTCAGGTCTATTTTCTAAAATTGGTAGCGATTCTTTTTCTGAGTGCATCGTGTGCATCGCTCCGTAACCATCCCTCGCGACACGTTAACTGCTTGTGCGCCAAATGGGTTTTATGTTGTCCTCAATACTGCTGCTGCTGGTTTTTCTTCTTCTTTGTGTGCTTGGGGGCAACACCCAACTTGTGCTTCCCTTGTGGCATGCAGATGCAAATTGCAAACACGTCGACTGACTGCGACCTGAAGTTGGAAACGGATTCGGATTCGGATTTGGTTTATACGTATTTTATATTTGTGCCTGTGTTCGACTTGGGATTGGGTTTTGGGGCGACTCTCTGCTTAAAGTCAACTTCTTGGCGCAAATTGCATTTTTATGAGTTTTGATTTCGACATTTCGATCCGTGCGAAACGACCCTAACCCTGGCCCTGGCCCTGGCCCTGAGCGTGAAAGAGAGCGCAAGAGGCAGAGCGAGAGAGAGGGTTGAACTCATTTACAATTTTATTTATTTGGTTGCTCAGTTGCAGGTTGTAAATTCCGTTGGCTGCAATTGAAATTGGACCACATGGAATATACACTCAGAACAAATTTTAAAATTAGAAAAATCCTGATTTTTAGAAACACACTTTAGCATTAATAAGTTGAGGAAAATTCAGGGCGATTTCATTTCAGACTGTACATGCCAACATATACACAATGTATTTGCTGCCCATAAATCAATGAAAAAAAGAAAAGAATAGAAAATGCAAGCAGCTGCGGTAGGCAAGTGTGGAGGGAGGGGCGGGGGGGTGACTTGGTGACTTGGATTTTCCTGTTTGTTGTTTGTTGCTCAAGAGCGTCAGAGTCAAGAGTAAATGTCAATGCGATGCGCACTTGCTGCAAATAAGCGACTTCCTGTTCCAATAAGAAAAGGCAACGCACAATAACGATAGCAACAACAACAACAGCAACAAAATGCATTCATTGATAAATTGTCAAACTGTTGTTGTTACTGTTGCTGTTGCAATTGTTTGCTGCCGAGACAGAACAGATAGCTAGAAAAAGAAAGAGATAGAGAGAGAGAGAGAGAGAGAGAGAGAGAGAGAGAGAGAGAGAGAGATAGAGATAGAGAGAGACGGTCAGCAGCAGGTAAACATACACACAGTGCCAGCAAAAAGTAAATAGCCAGCCAGTTGGCCAAGTTGCGATTGCAATTGGGTCGCAGCAGCAATTGGCGGCCATCTGTTGCAGTTGCTGTTGCAGTTGCAGTTGCAGTTGTTGTTGCCGTTGCCATTCCTCGTAATCTTATTCTATTGCAGCAATTAGAGTTTCGGTCTGTGGCTGCAACTGCAACTGCAACCGCCACGGCAACGGCTTGCGTCTTGTGGCAGGCTTTACATTTATGGTCTCATTAGCGTCAGCATTTGCCTTACTCTAGCTATTTATATTTGTTTTTCCTTCGTTTATATTTTGGCAGCTACAACTACAGTTTGACAGCCAATGCAAATGTGCACGGCCTGTCCAACTTTAGCGTTTCAGTTCAGTGGGTTTACTGTACTGTGACCACAACAGGAACAAACACCCACTGCAAAAGGTATCAAGTAACACAAACACGACTTGACAAAAGTCCACAAAGCTCCACAAATCTGCGAAGAGTTAACTAAATGATAACGGCAAAAAACAAAAGACAAAAGATGTCTAACCGTCCATACAGTGGGCCACAAAAGTGCACATTCTTGGCAAATATATACTCTGGAATATAGATATATACTCAATGGAGTTATTCAAAAGGTGGACTTTGTAATTTTAAAGAGGCTAAAATAAATCAAAAATATTTTATGGGAGAAACTTGAAAGTCCCTCTATTCTTCAAGGTGATTAGTTTAGAAAGCCAAGACGAGTATTATAAATCTCTAAAGAGTTACACTTGACCACAATTGTATCTTATGGAACGATATATTTACATCTGGCTCTGATCCAGGTAGTTTTCCTAACAATATTCAGTACACAGTTCTTCAAATGTTTCTGTTCATAACATTAAGTAAATAGTTCTCTAAAGAATTCTTAGCATACACTTTAAAACTAGCTTCTCTCATTTTTATCATCCCCCAATATTTGACATGTTAATATTTAAATACCATTTCCGGCTAAAAAAAATAAGTTTAATTTACTCGCAGCGCTTTGAACTTGACTTGTGTAAATTTGGCTAGCCATTTAGCAGAAAAAAGAAGTGTCATTTCAAGTGTAAATAAATTAGAATAAATTAGTTAGTTAGTCAAGCACAAAAAGTTAATGGCGGACCAGTTCAATTAAGTGAAAAGAAAAAAGTTAAATATTTATGATGCCTTATTTATGATGGGGCTCAGCCATCAGCGGCCTCCTCAACTGGCCATTATCTAATTATATGTTAGGCACTCCTCTTCACACTGATTATCATAATTCTGCGCAGAAATGCCTTTTCATGGCCAACTGTCATTGCCTCTGCCTAACCCGCCTCCCCCCTCTTAGCCAGCTCCCCCTCCTCTGCCAGCACTGTTTGCCATTGTGCCAAAAGAGCCGAGGGCGCTTTTTACGCTTCGCTCTGCAACATTTTGCGTCTCAAGTTGCAAGCAGCTTCAACATCAATTTATGTAATCTGAACAATACACAGAACAGATGAGAAGAGGATGGGTGAGGAGTGGGGAGGGGGCAGACATGCCTGGCACATCATCTTATAAATTCTGCTCGTTGGCAAAAGATGCCTGTGGTTAACCGCAATGACAAGCAGTGGCTGAGGGGGAAGCTGTTTCGTAGGGGGCACTTTGAATTAGAGTAAGTTCTGTGGCCAAACAATGCGCAGGCGCAGCCACAAAGCCACAGAGCCAGAGACGAGAACCAGCACACACTCAGAGAAAGATTGCACTGGATTTTAGAAGTTCGGCAATGATAAAACTTATTATTCAAAAAATATATTTATAAAAAGCTGGGTTTTTCTTTTAATCGTGAGCCAAAGTCATGTCAATATCGGATCTGCTACGCGATCTGCTAGTTAATGAAAGAAATACAGCTGCAAGTAACCAAAACTGTGACAAAAAATGTGTGCAGCTTTAAAGAGCCAGAAGAGGCGCTTGGCTATCTCACTTCGCATGTAGAGGACATATTCAAAGCTGCTGCACAAGCATCATATCACCGGGGATTGGTTTGCTTACAACTTGCAACTGTTGGTACTCACAACGCCGTGGAACAGCAATCTTCCATACACTTAATTGTGCGAAAATTGGCGAATGGTTTTTCAACAAATACAACAATAATCGTTTATGCCACATGGAATTGTGGAGCGATGCAGCGTTGCAGCTGAAAGTGAGTGCCGATGATGGGACAAGTGAGCTGGAGTGCGTTGGCGTTGCCGAGGTGCTGGATGCACTAGTGAAAGCGAACCAGACAATTGGCTTCTATTCCAATCCGAATCTGCATTCGAGTGTCCAGGGCCGGATAGATCCATATGGTCTAGTTGTGGCGCACTGCTGCGGCACATTACACTCGGAGCACAGATCCGTTGGCGTCTTTGAGTGCTCGTTTGGCCTATTGCGCGATCCGCATGCGTGCAACAATTGGGTGTCGAAAAAGTTCAAGTGCCTGCTGCGCAGTGCAACGAGTCCACTGCCTCTGTACACCCTAACTGAATACGATACACTGCAGTGACACACTGGTCCAGCTGTTACTGACTTAAAGAGTATCGTTAATGTGTGGATATTTATTTAATTATA